CTACTACTAAACCTATAAATATATGCACGTAGGTCTATTCCCCCCCATACTCATAAATATATTTACATATGTACATGTCTATATTTAGGCTACTATGTATGCCCTTTGCCTCAGACTCCTTTCCTCTATTTCCCTACGCTTTCCTCCTGCCCCACTACCATGTTCAGCCCTCATCCTGGTTTCAGTAATTCCTCTCAGTTACCTTGCCCTTGGTCACTCCCTACCAGTCCTCCCATCCCCTCCCTGCCACTAGTTTTGTAATCCTCAATCCTGTGGACTGTTAGGGAGGGTGGGGGAGAAAGGGGTAAAAAGAGGAGCTGATACCAAGGGCTCAAGTAGAAAATGTTTTGGAAATGATTATGGCAACATAAAGACAAATGTGCTTTATACAATTGATATGTGGATTGTTACAAGAGCCCCCAATAAAATGATTCATTAAAATTTTTTAAATAAATAAAAATTTTACCTTAAAAAAATTCTGTGGACTGTTAATACTACTATTTCTGTTTGGCAGTTGAAGACATGAAGTCTTACTGATTTCCCATATGTCGCACAACTAGTACATATCAGAAGTTTCACATGAACCCACAAGTTTCAGCTTTTTCCTCAGTAAAGAGTACTACTTCATATTTAGATAGCCTTTTAAAATCCACTGTCTCTCTCAAGCTACTCTAAATTTTATTTACCTCATTTCATCTACCAACTTTAAGATGGTTAAGAAAGTAATTGTGTCTGACACTGATAACTCCAAATCTCACAACAGGATACAATGAAAGTTCTTTCTCATTCACTTAGAGACCATGGATCACACAGGTACCCCAAGTTCACTTCTCAGGCTTATGGTGATGTCTCTTAGGGCCTGATTGCCACTTTAGTCACTACTTCAGTAATCCCCTGAATGTAGAGAGACAGAGAGGTTGAAGGCTCTTGGGATAATTACACTTCAGGGGCTAGTCCTGAAAGTGGCATACTTTATTGTACCCAGTGGCCAAAATTTTCACTGTATTCACAGTGTTAAAGGCTGAAGTGTCACCGCGAGGTCTCCCGCCCCCTTCACCTGA